CAAGGTGAAATATTGACTATTTCTAACCTTTTTGGATGAGGTATGAAAGGGTGAATTATAAAGAGTAATGAGGAACGGAAAAATAAAATTGTCCAGGGATGGGAATACGTTCAGGGTAGCCTAGTGGACATGGCATCTGCCCGGTAAGCGGAACATTGTGGGTTCGATTCCCATCCCTGGACACTTTTATTTTTCCGTTCCTTATTACTCTTCATAATTAACCCTTTCATACCTCATCCAAAAAGGTTAGAAATATTCAATATTTCACCTTGAAATAAAATTTTGATTTTTAATTGAAAAGAAACTCATGCGGTGTAACTTCAAGTGTTGTTTTACAATCACAGGCCGCAGTGTATTATATAATTGATTATATCAGATGGTGGTGGTGTCTTTTCCATTCTATGGAAAGAGGAAGGGTGCCATTGCCCCGTTAGTCAGCCACATTTCAGAGTTCCCTGTTCACGGTTACCGTAGCTGCTCGGGGCTCACGACACCGTACTACAGGACAGTCCCTTACTTGTGCTGCTTCTCCCGCCCGCCACGTAGAGGAGGGGTTGGACTTCTGGACAGAAATGTGTCAGATATCCCCCATATAAAACTATAGATGGAAATTTTGCCGGGAGGATATTGATCAAAAGAGACAAGGGTCGCCTCTCCCGTCAAAATAGACGTCAAAATCTATACGCCACCGTGGTCTCTAGGTGGACGCTTTTTAGTTTGCCAAAACTGGTGTTGTGGCTTTGGTTTGCGGCGACGATCAATAAATTGCGTCTTGTTTTTGACGTCTATTTTGACGGGAGAGGCGACCCTTGTCACATATAAGACTATTTTCATGTAATATTACCTCTCTGTATCTTTCATATATTTACTTAATTCATTTTGTCTAACTGACGCTTCTAAGCTTTAATAGAAGCTGAACAAATCTGGGAATGTAATATTTGAATATCAATATTAAATAAATCATAATAGAAAAAAGGCATCATCTTATCGTACAACTGAAAGTTACTGATGGCTTGCGCCATCTATCGGAATAAACTTACATTTTGATATTTATTCCGATAGATGGCGCAAGCCCACAGCAAATTTCAGTTGCACGATAAGGAGATGCCTTTTTATTTCTTAATTTATGCACCTTATCGAGTACACACCCAATATCCCAAATAGTATTTTTTTAAATCATAATGGGTTTATTGCTTTTAAAATCGGGGGGAAGGGGGGGGGGGGGGAGAAGTCCGACCACATCAGTCCCCCTTGGACCCTTGGAATATTTGACCAAATTCTGGTCCAAGGTGACTAACGTGGCAACGGCATCCATTTTCCAAGATAGTGGACATTGCGACTGCTGTGATAGAGATGCATGAAGCATCTGAGGCTCTTCATTCGACACGAAAACAACAACATTGATCACAAGTCCCAAGATAAAGGACATTGCGACTGCTGTGATAGAGATGTATGGAGACATCTGAGTCTCTTCATTGGACATGACAACAACAACATTGCTCACAAGTCCCAAGATAGAGGAAATTGCGACTGCTGTGATAGAGATGCATGGAGACATCTGAGTCTCTTCATTGGACATGACAACAACAACATTGATCACAAGTCTAAAGATGGAGGAAATTGCGACTGCTGTGATAGAGATGCATGGAGACATCTGAGTCTCTTCATTGGACACGACAACAACAACATTGATAACAAGAATCAAGATAGAGAACATTGTGACTGCTGTGATAGAGATGCATGAATACATCTGAGTCTCTTCATTGGACACGACAACAACAACATTGATCACAAGTCCAAAGATAGAGAAAATTGCAACTGCTGTGATAGAGATGCATGGAGACATCTGAGTCTCTTCATTGGACACGACAACAACAACATTGATAACAAGAATCAAGATAGAGAACACTGTGACTGCTGTGATAGAGATGCATGGGGACATCTGAGACTCTTCATTGGACACGACAACAACAACATTGATCACAAGTCCCAAGATAGTGGACATTGCGACTGCTGTGATAGAGATACATGGGGACATCTGAGGTTCTTCATTGGACACGACAACAACAACATTGATCACAAGTCCCAAGATAGAGGACATTGCGACTGCTGTGATAGAGATGCATGGAGACATCCGAGGTTCTTCATTGGACACGACAACAACATTGATCACAAGTCCCAAGATAGTGGACATTGCGACTGCTATGATAGAGATACATGGGGACATCTGAGGTTCTTCATTGGACACGACAACAACATTGATCACAAGTCCCAAGATAGAGGACATTGCAACTGCTGTGATAGAGATGCATGAATACATCTGAGTCTCTTCATTGGAAACGACAACAACAATATGCGTAATGGATAACATTCGTTTTTATGAATGCATTTAAAAGAAGAAGTTTATTGTTATTCTTATTTTTAAAGTCGCAGATTAGATAGATGTGAAGCAACAAATTTAGCTATGCAAAATTAACTTGTATATCATGTTTTCAGGCTATGGCCATGATTAGTACAGGGAACATATTCGATTAGCAATATTTATGTTTGGAATGTTTAACTGCTGATTTGGTGTGTTATATCAAATTTAGGGTAAATACATTGATATTTTGAGGAAGGATGTAATACATATGTGCAAAATATATTTTAGCTTTATCCGAATTTTTTAAGGAATGATGAAGAAGTAGCATAAATCGTCGTTTATCGATAGACACGATCCAGAATCGAATCCTGCAATTGGATTTTTTTCTGAATATTGATTCAACGGCCCTTGTATCTTTCAAAAGGCATCCAAACCAGTGAGTGCAACTAACTAAACAGAAATCTGGTACCGACCTGGGATCAAATCCTGCATTTGGAACTTTTTTTCTGAATAATGCTTCAATGGCTCCTGAATCTTTCAAAATGTCAATCTCACTAGTAAGTGAAAGTAACTGAACAGGAATTTTGTAACGACCTGGTATTGAATCCTGTATTTGGGACTTTTTTCTGAATATTGTTTCAATGGTTCATGATTATTTTAAAAGTCCAACTCCACCAGTGAATTAAATTAGCCATACAGGAATCTGGCACATTTGTAACTGTAAAATTCGAACTACTTTCAATATGTGTAGACATGTAGTGTACTTACAATAAAAACAATCGCTAACTGTGGTTGTATATTATATATGTTTATATGAAAAAACAATAGAAAAAAAGTAGGTCAGGTATTGATATTAAAAATAAAAATGGCATATCCTGACCAGGAGCACATGTGCTTTTCAGAAGGCAGAGCGCCATCTGGTCGAACAGAAATAAACTAAACCTTGATTTAGCCTGTTCCCTGATATTTGGCCAACCCAATTTCTTGATAAATCAAGAAAAAGCTCCACGCTGACGAGCGTCAACAGCGCGAAACGCGTTCGTGGATGACTTTTCTTGATTTATCAAGAAATTGGGATGGCCAAATATCAGGGAACATGCTAAATCAATGTTTAGTTGATTTCTGTTCCACCAGAAAAGCCTTATGAAAAGCACATGTGCTCCTGGTCAGGATATCCCTTTTTATTTTCAATATATATATATGAAAAAGACAAATTTTGGATTTTAAAATTAGTTATTTCATTAATGATATCTGAATATTTCAAAATTTAATTACAAGTAAACAAATTGAAATTCATTTATGTTCCATCACGTTCATTTTTATATGAAACTTTATTTTTGGATTCATTTATATTTATAAAGAGACAAGGGTCGCCTCTCCCGTCAAAATTGACGTCTAAAACCTGACGCCATCTATTGACCGTCGCCGCAACTAGCGGCCTCAGGTCGGTGACAAAGCCACAACACTAGCTTTGGCAAACTGAAAAGCGTCCACCTAGAGACCATGGTTTCGGGCTAATGGCCCTCGTCAGTCTAGGGAGGACTTTATTCCATGAGATTCACACGGGATCTAATGGAATCTTGACAATCTACCAAAGAGGTGTTTAGCTGGCAAAGTGGCTGGGCCATATCTATGGCTAACATATAGATGGAATAGATGGCGTCTGGTTTTAGACGTCTATTTTGACGAGAGAGGCTACCCTTGTCTCTTTATAAAAATTTCCTACCGGCAAAATTTCCATCTATATTTATATATCTTTCAACTCTATCTTTGTTTTGTTTTTTTTCACACACATAGTCACGTGAATATATTTCATCAGTAATTTAGCACAAATTTGAAAAGAAAAACATTTCTTCGTTTATTTAGAGTAATCATAAATATAGTCACAATATTTATTCTCAATGATAATATAATATTCATATTAAAATGTCTTCTATTTAAATGAGAACATTAAACATCCAGGGTAAAGTTTCTTTTAATTAAATAATAATAATAATAATACATTATAATACACTTCCCATCTCTGGATACTTTTATTTTTCCGTTCATCATTACCCTTAATAATTCACCCTTTCATACCTCATCCAAAAAGGTTAGAAATAGTCAATATTTCACCTTGAAATAAAATTTAGATTTTTTCATTGAAAAGAAACTCATGCGGTGTAACTTCAAGTGGCGTTTTTCAATAATAATAATAAAAATTTAAAATATTTTCCCTGGATGTTTAATGTTCTCATTCAAGGAATTATTTTATCGAATAATGTCTTATATATATAGTATGCCAGACGAATGAAGCACTATTATTATAGATGGGCAAATGGTATTGTAATCGAATATTTAATATCGGCTGAGAGTTATTTATTTTTGCTGTGTCGTATTTCCCTTGGCGTCTATCTGTTCTATCCTATATATATACTATTGTTTTTTTTGGATCCTAATAATTTGTCTTTATGTCATTTGTCGTTTCTCATTTTATAATCTTCAATATTTATAACTAGCCGAATGACCCGGGCAACGCCCGGGGTTTACCCGATTAAATGCTTTTATTAAAATACTATTCGTTACAATTATAAATTGGCGCCGTGGATGTCATTCTTGTATAATATATAAATGAGTTTTAAATATTGTAAAAAAAAAATGCATCGGCCGGGAATCGAACCCGGGGCGCCCGCCACTATAATATATAAATGAGTTTTAAAAATTGTAAAAAAAAATGCATCGGCCGGGAATCAAACCGCGTGGCAGGCGAGCATTCTACGACTGAACCAAAAGCAAACGGTGACAGAAGTGTCTCGCGCATTGGCGGCGCCATCGTAGCGAACCAATAGGAGAGCGCCATTCCAAAAAAAAAAAAAAGCAAACCGTGACAGAGATGAAGAATGACGCTTGTAACTGTATATAGAATAAGGAAATTAACTATCCTTTAGCAGTTTTGTACGATTCCTTAACTCCAGTTTGTACCCAGGGGGGTCAGTGGAAGGATGGTCTAAGCCGTTGGTTTTCCACCGCTACGACCTGGGATCGAATGCCTCATTGGGCACTTTTTATCTGATTTTAAAAAATGCTCCAATGGGGCTCCTGATTCTTGCTAAAGTCCAATCCCACCAGCGATTGTTAGTAACCAAATGGGGCTTTGGCACATTTGTAAGTGAAAAATCGAACTGCTTTTCACATGTGTAGACATGTGGTGCACTTACAGTAAAAGCAGTCGCCTACTTCTACCCATCATGTTTATCATGGCCTGTACCACTTGTACTAGGGATAAGCAAAAAAAAAAAACTTTGTACCCATAGGATGCCATAAATTGGTACCAAACCTGTAATGATGAAGCCCGAAGTCCGGAATTCTGATATAATGGTCAGATTATTTATCCGAAATTTTCTGAAGTTTTTATCTTGTGACAAATTTATCGTACTAATCTTAGAACGATTATCTTAGAGAATATTAAGATAATCTGCCTATTATAAGTTATTTTAGTATGCATGGTACACATGATAATGAAGATATAATAATTATAATGGGTTAATATTCCTAGTACATATGATGATTTTGATGGTATGGTAATATATGGCGATGATGTATGATAATATATGGCGACTACTTTTCCTGCAAGTACTACCCATGTTTATACACGTAGAAAACAGCTTGGCATTTGCACTTACAAATATTCCAGAGCCCTGTTTGATTAATTGCAGTCACTGATGGGGTTAGTCCTTTGTAAGAATTATAGGTCATTAAAGCAATTTTTTCTTCATAAAGAAAGTTATTTTATATTACAATATAAATTCCCATCCCTGGATACTTTCATTTTTTCGGTCATCATTACTCTTCAAAATTCATCCTTTCATACTTCATCCCTAAGGATAGGAATAGTCGTTATTTCTCCTTAAATAATGAAAATTACGATTTTTCATTCTGTAAAAAGATATATTTGCGGTCAAACTTGTTGAACGTCATTAAAAAAAAAAGTAACCAATGCAGGATTCGATCCCGTGTCGTAGCTATCAAAATTTGACGGTATGTATCATGCTTCCACCAAATCCACCAATATGAATTTTAAAAGGGATAAATTACATTTTGTATAATATAGTTAAACCTGTCTATAGCGCCCCCTCTTGGGACTCACCAAAATAGGGTACTATAGACAAGCGTGCTATAGACAGGTCACTTTTAATGTAAAATCGAATCGTACTACGTATTTAAAATCGGGCGCTATAGAGAGGGAGGCGCTATTTAGAGGGGGCGCTATAGACAAGTTTAAATATATATAGAAATTGTTGAATAAAATTGTTATTGAGAGAGAAATTTATATCAATAAGGTTTTTCTGCCATTGCAAAATATTGCCACGTGGAAAATTAGGGAAGACAAACTTCAGGATGAGACAGCAATTTATTTCAGGCAAGAACAAACTATGAAGGATAAACAAAAGATAAGGAATGAGGGAAATTTACAGAGTAGTAAAATGATACTCTGTTAATACTAGTGTAAAATAATAAATGTTGCTAAAATAATAAATACTTCGCTACACAAAATCAAATCGGAGAATATACTCATTAAAATTAACCTTAAATTTAACTAATTGAAAATTTTTGAATAAGTATCTAATTTAGTTACATATGTATAATATACACTTCTATAAAAAGAAAAAAAAAACAATTATATTACACCTCTAACTACATTAAGACAAATGATTTTTATTGATTTTATATATTCTCATAGAAGCCTCTATATAAATATATATATTTTTTTTCTCTTATAAATAAATATTAGATGTATTTGCGATACATATTCAAAATTTCGTTTTAAAATCCTATGCAAAAATATTGAACATTTAAACATTTTTTCTTATATAAAAAAATGTTAATGGAATGCCAACTTTTTATAATTCTTGTTGTAATAAAATACTCCATTTGAACTAAACTAATTAGGGTATCACGTGGCAACTATGTATATGTAATTTCTTGGAGAGGGACTGCTTTATCAAGCTCCCTAGTCTCATCTATATTGGGGGCCATTTAGTGATCCTTAGGGGCCTGAAATACCCCTAGTAGACCTTAGGGAATCTTATGATCCTGTCATTTCGGATCTGTATTTAAATCCGCTTCTTTTTTCCCTTTCTTCAAACCAGGATTCCGTTAATCTATATACTCTACTTTTTCCAAAGACAATTTCACGAAATTGAGTTCTGGTTTTACCGATTTCTTGAAAATTAGGTAGATTTAAGGTTTAATTGTGTTGGAAAAGATGCTCTTTTCTTCCATTTAGGATAATAGAATTTTGTTTTGTTTTTATTAGATTATGTTGAAAGGAATTCCTCTCAAAGGATTTTTGTTGATATTATTTTATGATTAGAAATATAAACTTGATATATCTGTATATTTTTAGTTTTATAAAATTTGTTTTTGTTTATTTTTTAGCTTTTATATATATAAGCATTATATAATTTATGTGTGAAATATATATTTGGTATTTTTCACGTTTATTAGAAAAGGATTTATTTTGAAATTTTTTCCAATATGATATATATGCAATTTATTATTTATTTATTACCAGTTACAACCAAGACACGCTATATCCGATCTGAATAATTGCGCGTGAAACTATTTACAATAATTCATATTGTAGTAGAGTAGGTAACAGAATTATCATAATGAAAATAAACAATTAGGAAAAATAGCATTGAATAAACATATCCATTAAAAGAAATAAGCACCAACATAAGCAGATAGAAGAAATATGCAAATATGCAAATATGATTATTATTTTGTTTTTTAATAAATTATAATTTCGATAGCTGTATATTACAGATTTCTGTTAATTTATAAACAAAGAAATATATATGTTATAGGCTGTTTGCTAATTATTCGATTTATATTGGTGGAAATTTTTTAATTCCTTTCAAATAAAAAAAAAGCATTATTGATAAAGATTGTATATTTATATGACAGGTATTCTTTATTTTTATTGTTGATCACATCTTTAAAGTATGTATATATTATATAAATAGAAAAAAATATATATTTTCTGCTTGTATTTAGATCATGTTGAGGATTATGGTATTGTGATGCAGTCGTGGTTAAAAATCTTGAAAGAATAATAATAAATATGGTTTTGATCAGATATTTCTTTATTTGAGCTCAGGAATATATATGAATAATATAATTTGATTAAAGGACTGCCTGGCTTAAGGCGAATAGAATAAGGAAAACAAAATATTATTTACATAATGTACAAAAGTTTTGAGCCGGCCATTGGGATAAAACAACAACGAGTTTTTATAGGGGAAGCGTGACCTCTGGCGGTCGATTTAGCAGAGTATTTGAATCTATGAAATTATAATTTTTTAAAATGAAATAATATTTTTATATAACATATATATAGAGAGATTTTAGTAATTATAATATTTATTTACAAAATTACTAACTTTTAAACTAAATATAGCAGACACGTTCTATAGATAAATACTTATATAAAAATGAGTTGTAAATATATGTTTGAAATTTTTACACATATAAATTTATAAAAATAAAAATAAATGAATAAAAATAAAAATTAAATTTACAAATATATGTTTAAATTCTTCGATTAAATCAACTTCCATCATTGCTTAACATACTGTAAATAACTACCTTGTGGTTTCTTCTATCTGCTTATGTTGTTGCTTATTTGTTTAATGTATATGTTTATTTAACGCTCTTTTTCTTAATTGTTTATTTTCCTTTTGATAATTCTGTTACTTACTTTACAAAAATTATTATAAATCGTTTCACGCGCAATTTTCCAGATCGGATATAGCGTGTCTTGTTTGCAACTGATAAATAAATAAAATAAAATATATATATTTGAACATGGCCAAACATTATGAAGTTTTAACATGATCATGTTTTAAATAAACAGAGTACATTTTTGGGTGATTGTTATTTCATTGGTTGTTGTATCACAAGCTCTCGAAAACACTACTTTTCTATTGGCTAAATAGAAAATGCCTTTTCTCTATCACCAATTGAAGAACAGTATTCTTCAAGCCCTTGATATCTATTCCCCAATAAAATGCACATTTCACACAACTTCCTTTTTCAAGAAATTAGGTGAATATATTATTTGTATATAATAATGGTTTTTGTAAATATTGGAAAATTAAATATTTCGATCTAATTAGATAGAAATTCATGTAGATTTCTATGAAAATTGTATTTTTCTCCTATTATTATTATTTATGTAAGTAACCCAGGTTCCTGGAGCGTACAGAAGTCGCCAACTACCCTGGATGTCCTTCTGACCTAAGTCTTCTTGGATTTACCGTATATACAATGCCAGTGGAAGTCCAATTAATGAGGTGTCGCCAGGCAGATTTCTTTCTTGGGAGATTTTCTAGGGATGCTGGACATATGTTGGTGATACCTAGGAGAGTGGCTGTCTGGAATCTTTGGTATTGGAAGGTTGGGCAAGTGAAGAGGAAGTGGTCTACGGTTTGGTCTTCCTATATGTGTTCTTTTGTTATCGTTGTAGAAAAAATTGTTATCGATGTGTTTTAAATTTTCTATTTTTATATATATAATTCTGCTTTGTCGAATTCTCAATGGAGTAAAAGGTTGTATTGAAGATTACTATGGTAACTAAAATGATGATGTCTTTAATAAATAAATTGAAATATTTATCATTAGTATTATTTACGAATATAACGTTTGTGCTACTGTTTTCAACACAGTGGAAAATATTGGGAAGGTCTGAATCATTAGTAGTGAACACTCCAAGCAGTTTTGCCTGTTTAA